GAGGCGACAAGGAGGAGGAGAGGGACCACCGCACACAAAGGGGGTTTAAAGGGCATCTCCTGGTGTGGTGGGAGCAAGGATCTGTCCCGCTGGGGAGGACTGCGCTGGCCCGAAGGGAAAAGCAAAGGAGCTGGGGTTCGCTTTTCCGGTTTGTTCCTACGGCACGGGAAGGCAGGTTGGATAAACCAACCAGCTGGCTCAGGTGAGGCCGGCAAGTCCCACGGAAGGGACAGGTACAAGGCTGGGGTGCAGGGAAGGGGATGGGAGCTCCTGCCTCGCTCCCGGCAGTTGCACCCCCCTGGCTTCCCCAGCCCCAGTACTCACACCGCACCGGCAGGAGAAACAGAACAAGCATCTCCAGGGAGTGTGTTTGGAAAATGCCAGGTTTTATTAGACATTAGGCTGATGTTCAAGCTGACAGTTCTATCCCAATGCACACAATCGCAGGCATCTGCACGGGCCTGTGTCCCAGCTCCCTCCCTCCGACAATGCTCCCGGGCACGGGGACTTGGGGTTTCTTGGCAAAATGAAAAGGTGTCCCACTCCCCATTTCCACCCCCAGATTCCCAGAACTCTCCTAAGAAAGCTTGGAGAAAGCTGGTCTGGGGACTGCAGTCTCTTGGGACCAACAGCCACTGGGATCCACGGGAGAGAGAGCATCTCGGTGCCGGCATCTCCCCGAGCCAGCATGGAGCCGAGTCAGCGTGCACCACAGGGAGCAGAAAACAGCCCCACTTCAGACCACTGCTGCCATCGCTGCGGAAAGAGAGCCCTAAAGCACGGAATCGGGGAGGAAAAAGGGTTTTGGCCATCACAGAGGAGCCCCACCCGGGACACGGGCTCCAGGGCTTTGCATGGGGTGTGCAGATGCTGAGGGGAGGAGGAGGAGAGGAGAGGAGGCATTGAGTGCTGGAGAAAAAAGCAAAAGAAAAGGAAAGCGGGGAAGCGATGGGGAGAACGATGGGAGCAGCCTGAAAGCAGAGCCCCGGTGCCTTCGGGTTCACTTTCCTGGGCGAGGGGGCCTTTCCCTGGCTACCCCAGAGCCCACGGACTTCAGGGGAACAGGGCATCAAGGAAAGAGATGTCACAATACAGCGCTTGCAGACGGAAAGCTCTGATGGCCTCTGCTTGCCATGGCAATGACACGGCGCGGCGGCAGAAGGGTGACAGTATTGGCACGTTTCTGTCAGTGTTCCTGTTCCTTTAGCTCTTCAGAAAACCATGCAGACTAGCCCAGTGGGGAGAGAGGGAGGCGAGGAGTGGGCGAGACAGAGGAGGACAGCGATGAGCAACAGGATCCTGTACAAGAAGGCAGAAGGAGCGGCAGCGGAGGGGACAGCAGCTCTGGGGCAGGTGTGAGACCTCTCGGCGGTGACTCACAAGCACGTCACTTCTCTCCGGGCTGTTCTGGCTGCTGCTTTCTCTGACACTCTGTGTGCCTTCACTTGAACCTCCGGTCCGCTCCACACTGCTGGCAAATCCCTCTGCACGAGCCATGCCCCTTCCCATGCTTGGGCAGAGATTGGGCGTAGATTTGGGTCTGGCCTTCATGAGTTCCAGTGTAGAGCCCTGCCTCGAAGGAGAGGCAAGGAGCATGGAAGTCTCTGGGACAGCATCCTCCCAGACTCACCTGGACGGAGGGGACCACTTCTTCACAGCACCTGGCCTCAGTGCCAGGGGACATGGAGCCCCCTAGATCTTCTGCCCCAGCCCACGTCCCCTTGGGCACATGGAGGTGAGGAGCACTGCCCTCCATTCACACCATTCCCATCACCACAGAGCCTTCTATTCCCAGCTTTGTCTTTCCCTCTTTCATTCCTTTTGCCTTTTTCTTCCTCAGTCAGCACCTCCACTTCTTCTTGTTCCTGTCAACGGCAAGTCACTCTGCTCCAGAGGTTTCCTGGAGAGCAGCTGTGGTCGCTTGGGCACATGGAGGTGAGGAGCACTGCCCTCCATTCACACCATTCCCATCACCACAGAGCCTTCTATTCCCAGCTTTGTCTTTCCCTCTTTCATTCCTTTTGCCTTTTTCTTCCTCAGTCAGCACCTCCACTTCTTCTTGTTCCTGTCAACGGCAAGTCACTCTGCTCCAGAGGTTTCCTGGAGAGCAGCTGTGGTCGCTGACAGCAGGATGTTCATGCTCAAAGGCACCGTTTTCCATCCCAGAGCAATATCTACACCCTGGTTGGTTTGTGCTCGGTCGGCAGCCAAGCCATGCTGGCCAGGAGGGCCAAGTGATGAAGCCACCCCTGATCCCCTGGCTCTTGCTGACAGGTTTCCAGGTCGGCCGTCCATGAGAAACCTCGCCCTGCTCAGGTGCTTCCGAAGCAATGCTCCTTCTCCTCCCAGAACTGAGCGCCGCCACGCAGAGATCAGCCAACAGATGGCTAAACTGGGGGAAGTTTGGAGGACAAACCACAGAAACCTGTCGGGATTGGCCTAGGGAGAACAGAGCAGCAGATGGGGAGAAGGTTGCGGCTAGTGACTGCAAAACAAGCTAGAGCACTAACCCCCGGGGGTCTGACTGAGAAAACAGCAACACAGACTTGACTGAGGTCCAACTGCCAGACCCTTAACCCTCGGAGCCCTGCTGATCCTCAGGCTTGACCTGCCAGCATGGGTGTTTGAGGCTGATGACAGGTGGGCACCAAGTGCCTTGTCCCTGTGCTGGCCCAAGGGGGAGGAAAACCTGCACACGGCTCCTTGAGGGAGTGTGTGATTTGGGGTGCCGGCCCTCCTCCTCCAGCCAGTGCTGGCAGCTCCTTTCCAGCCCACTGCTTCCTCTGACACGGACTTGCAAATCCCATCACGGCTGCCTGTCTGGAGCTAGGCCCCTGCAAAAGGCCCTTCTTCAGCCGCCACCCAGGTGAAGGCTGAAGTTCAACTTGGGAGAACTCGCTGGGTGACCTAAAAGTCTCAGAAAGAAAAACGAGATTGATATTTGTAGAGATTTGTAGGATGTTTGTGCCTGAAAAAAACAGCTGAGACCTGGCCTCTCTTTCCTCGCCCAGCGCTTTGCCCTGGGGCTCCCAGTGATACCCCGGGTTAATGTGTCACCGCTCTCCCCTGTGCTCTCACGCCGTGCCCTCGTTCTTGCTCCCTGACAGCTTTGAGGATGCAGAGGTTGAAATTCCTGTTCACGCCCTCTTGGCACCAGTGAAAAAGCAGCTACAGTTCTAGCTCACCGTGCATTGCTCATACTCACAGCTTAAACATGGCCTTCTACTCAAAAGAACAAAGATAAAATGTCAGGAATTCACAGTTTTTATTCTCTTTCTTATGCCCACCCATCTTCCCCTGCCATCGATGTCAAAGACAAGTCCTCATCGTACGGTAGCCTTTGCCAGTGTGGCGCTCAAAGGGTTAACAAACCGTGGCTGCTTGGACAGATAAGACATAAGCTCATTCACCGGTAGGAACACGTGGACGGTTATATCACAGAACACCTTAGGGTTTCCTGTAACGATTCTTTGGGGTTTCGCCACAGCCAGTGACGTCGCAGGAGAGAACGTTGGGCTTCTTCCCCAAGCCAATGCTTCCCAAGAGATCGGGAAGCTCGCGAGCGATGGCCTTCTCGATCTTCTCCAGGTAACACCCTCCCATGTAGGAACACTGCTGAGACAGCAGCTTAAAACTGGTGATGGGGTTGATGCCAAAGAAGTCCTTGTAAGCCTCACGGTTGGGGAGGTCAAATTTGCTGACATTGGTCTTTGCCAGAATGGACTTAAAGATAAAGAACTTGTCAGGATCTTCCACAATGTCCCTGAACACCAGTTCTCCATCGCTAAAGAAGGTCATTTTGTCCTTGTAGGTCTGTAGGTAGCGATCGACCAAGAGGGCGTGGATGCGCACCCGGATGGCGTGCTGGCGTATGAAGGCAATCTTATTTTCCATCCTGTTCTCAATCACCTGGTTGAGATCTTCCAGGAGCGATATCTCTTCTTTGAGGAACAGGTCTTTGTGGGTGTCCGGATGGTACTCCTGCGGCCAGAAGGAGCTAACATACACCCGGGGTGGCTCTGTGACGTTGATGAGAGGAGCCAGGCTCCAGAATAAGGCCCCATAGACTCTCATGAGCTCCTGGGTAGCCAGGCTGTCGGCTTTGTTCAAGATGATTCGGATCTGAGACTCGCGGCCCTTCAGCTGGCGAAACAGCATCTCCAGCTCCAAGCCCACATCCAGCTTCGTAGGGTCAAAGACAACGAAGATGAGGTCAGCTCTGTCAATGAACCACTGGCACACATCGTTGAATGGGTAACCTGGAGGAGAGGAAAGGGAGAAATCCAGAAGTGGCCAGCAGGGATGAGTCCCTTTGAGTCAAGGGACAGCTAAGCCTCAAGCCTGCCATGTCTCACACCCTGTCTGGGCAGGACAGGGTGTGAGACACAGCAGAATTCCCATGCAGCCCAGAGCCTGTTCCTCATGTGCTGTAAACAATTCAGAGTTTCTCGGCATGGCAACCCACCCCTGTGTGTCAGGGCCCGCTTGTCTCCTTCCACTCCATCTCCAAACCTTCTTCCTCCTGCTGCTGATCTGTCCTGGCACCCCAGGATAGATGTGTGATGGACAGATGCCATGAGGGACTGGTGCTTCTCCAGGCCCTGCTGTAGCACCAGCCCCTGGCAAAGCCTGGCTCCAAGGGCAGCAACCAAGGCATTGAACGCTGAGCCAAGGCAGACAATCAGCTGCCCAAGGAGTCCCCAGGAAACACCTTGCCAAAACACCGGAGTGTCACACCTCCAAACGTCAGAAACGGCTGCTCTAGCTGATGACTCTTGGGTATTGCTGCCGTAGCCGTGGACACACAAACGTCACCACCCCTTGGTGCAAGACCCCTTCCATAGCCTAGCGCTCTCCCCTGCAGGGCTCCAGCCACCTTTGTCATCTCACTTCGTTACAGAATCTTTTCTGGAGCCCCTGAGGTGAACCCAGCAGCCCCTTACCTCGTTCTTGCTGTTTGCGGTTCTCAATGATGCCCGGTGTGTCCACAAAGGTGACCCGCTCCAGCAGTTTGTGGGGCACCTCGATCCCTATCAGCTTCTCCAAGAAGTTCTGCCCAAACTTCTCCAGGGGTGAGAAGGAGCGGGCGCTGTCAGCAGCCATCACGATGCCCTCGATGGTCTTCAGCTTGGGGCCGTGCATGATGACGGTGAATTCGGAGGTGGTGGGTTCTGCCCCTGCCCAGCAACGAGAGGAGCAGCAGAGCTGTGAAATCCATGCCGGGCAACGGACACGACAGGGCTGGCCTGGAACTAGCTGGGAAGCTCAGGAGCATCGCTCGCTTGCCAAGAGATGCTGGAGGAAGGCAAGCAGTGGGGCCATGAAATTCTTGCCAAACCTCTTGAGAAAATGCCAGCAGGGCTGTTTTCTTTGGGGAATGGTTGTCCCGGAAGTGGCCCGACTGCACAAGGCACCCTGGAGAATCACCTCCCGGGAGCTCTCGTTACCCTGGTGCAGAGCTGGCCACAGACATCTGCCCTCAGCTGCGAGATGACATCCATGGGAGCAGGGAGGAGGGAAGGGGAATGACATTTCTCCTGGGAGGGTGAATTAATTGGCTCAGGGAGAAGACAAGGGCAAGTTGCCCTTGTAACGTGACCGGGAATCGCTGACCGCCTGGATGCAGAAATGCACCTCGGCAGCGTGGGGAGGGAGTGGTGAGCGTGATACCTGTGTAGAGCTGGTAGGGAGTGTCGTCCAGCCCAAGGAGGTAGTTTATCATGGAGGATTTGCCGACGCTCCACGGTCCCAGGAATAGCACCATTGGCTTGGAAGTGATCTCCCCATCTGCAGAGAGGGGAAATAACAAGAGGAAGTGAAGAAACAATAGCTGTCGCCGCTGTGCGATCAACTCCCGGCTGTAACGAGCATCCCATCTGAGCGGCGCAGCGATGCTGCCGGGGAAACGGCCACCCTTTTGGGGCTGCCAGCCATTCGCGAGCCAAGGCATCGCCCAGGGACGGCCCCGGTGTCTGCAGGAGCGGGACATCACCGTGCTCAGCCGGGCAGCCCACCTCACTGCAGCGAGAGTGAACCTTGTCTGACTTTCTCTGAGCTTTGGCCTTTCTTAGGCTACGGGAGGACTTGAAGGTCTTTTAAATCTTGGCTTGGTTCAGTTCTGGTTTAGCCAACGTGAGTCTGGGGCTGGCTGCCGGCGGTGTGTTGTTTGAAGGCAGCCACCGCAAAGCACGGGACATGCGGAGGGGGTGGCCATGCTGCGACCAGGCGAACGCCTCGTGCAAAGGCAGCTGGCATGGCGTAAGGAGCAACACCCCAGTGCAGTGCTTGGTAAGTGCGGTGCAAGCCTTGGGCCGGCTGACTGCGTTGCATTCCACCATACCCTCACAGGGATCTGCCCCTGGGTCGTGGCTCCCAGCCCTCCGGTCAAGCAGAGGGTGCACGGCTCCTGCTGGCGTGAGCAGGGCAGGCTGGGCAAACAGCCCCACTTTGGGCCTGGGAAAGGCAGGAGCATGAACTGCAGTCCCCATCCCGTACTTTTCAAGTCCTGGAGTTTGCTAAGAGGCTCAAAGAGCCTGGTGGTGTGGCCCTAAGGACCTGTCCCCATGCTACACGATCAGTCCGGCAGCACAGAGGTCCCTGGATAGAGGCAGCCACTGCCCCAGGAGCCATCCCGGCTTGAGCAGGACTTGTGCGGTCAGCCTGTGCCCACAGTGCTCGACCCCCAGCCCTCAGGACGCTGGGCAGGCAGCCGGTGGAGCTGGAGGAGCCCCTGGCCCAGGCTAGTGCCCAGGCTGTGCCCAGGACAGCCAGGAGCCGGCTAGTCACCTTGAGCCTAGGGCAGGCCAGGAATGGAAGGAAAAGTAAAAGCGGGATGAGTGAGTTCCCGCTGGTGGCAACCTTCCCCGTCTGTGTACCAGCACTGATGCAGCCAAACGAACCTGGGCAGGAAATGGTGCTGGGAAAGCCATGGTGGCAGGGAGCAGAGCAAGCTGTGGTCACCCTGCCACGGCATCAACCCGGCACAGCACCGGTGCGTCTGCTGCTGCTGGGGCTGTGCCGGCTCGCTTCCCTCCATCTCTGTCCTTTGCTCAGAGTGGGATAGGGTCCATCCCGCTGCTGCTAGCAAGACTCCAGGCAGGAGAGGGGCTGGATGCTCCCAGAGGAGCTGGGACCTGCTGTCCCTCAGCCAGAGCTGAGCCTTCCCCATGGCCCAGGGTGAGGAGGTGCCCTTGGGGGGCTGGCACTGCCCTCGGCACCTTCCCTGCAGCCCCACTAAGGCAGAGCTGCTTTCCTTGCAGTGGCTGACAGACCCCGCTGCTCCACGGCTGCTGCCCACACAGGAGCCAGCAGCTTCCCAGCAAGGCAGGGGTCCATCTCCGAGGTGAGTGCTGAGTTCCCGCTCCCGAGGGAGATGGAGGGCACTGCATGGTGGCTCTGCACCAAACCCATCCAGCCACGGGCGCAGGAGTCGGGCAGAGTATGCCAGCCTCCTCCTGCCTGCCTCTGCCCAGCACAGGGCCACCACGTCACTGCTGCGGAAGGGGATGGGCTGGGGACATCTCCCCATGGGGCACAGCTGCCCCAGAGCAGGACAGCTGTGTCCGAACCAGGGGGATGGCCCTGCCCGCTCCCTGCCCGCGTTCTGCAGGGATCCGGTGTCGCCTTCTCCCGTGGGACAAAAACAAATGTTAAACCTCCGACTTTTGTTATTAATCATTCCTGTGCCACTCTATCACTGCCCTCTTCTCATCCCGGCTTTAATTGGGTTTTGGATGGTGACTGTTACTGCTGTCCTCTGTGATGTTGTGCCAGAGGCTTGAGGCGGGTCCCCGTGTGCTCTGTTGTCACAGGTTCCCGGCCAGGCGTGGCTGTGTGAAAGCAGGCAGCCCACGCGCCCCAGCTCCACATCGCATCCCCCTGCTCTGCCCCACTGTGCCCAGGTGGGCAGCCGTGCCGGCATCCCCCTGCCAGGTCACGGACAGTGAGCCGAGCCCATCGCTACCCCTCGCTTTGGGAAGAGGGTGCTGGCACCCCACGGGCTTTGTTGGCAGATCGGATGCAACATCTCTCTGGGTAGCACAGCAGCTCTGGGGACACGAGGCCACGCATGGGTCCTTCTTGCCCAGGGGCTGGGAGAGCAGAGAGCATCTCCCACCCGGGAGAGTGCTGGCCCTGCTACACCCCCCG